TGCAGAATAACATAAGATATACACAAGTTACATATCACAAAGCAATTAAATTAATGTTAAAAATTAATGCTGAAGGCGTATGTCCTCCTTGAATATCCAGTGTATGATAATTCCACTCCATTTTGATGTAGACCCTAATCTCATTAAAATCTGATCTTAGTTCTAGCGACTGCTAAACAAAGATCTGAAGACATCCCATTACAGACATGTCAGAACGACATTTCAACTGACCAATCAGAGCTTACCAGATCGGGAAAGTGTCAGTCGGAATGTGTTTTCTAATCATGGAACCTCAAAAAGGTTAAAAAGGGGTATTCCAAAAGACAGTTTTGGCCGGTACCACTGATTCCGTCAAAATCTCTGTCTATCTCTCACTTCCATTGGATAAACATTTGAAACGGAAGAGACTTTCAACAGCCCTTGGAAGTACTGCCATACTATCTCGACCATCTACCGGTAGTAGACATAATCATTCCAGAATTCTTCAGTTTTCAAATGCTGAATCCATATTTTTCAAATGGAGTCTGGAATGGAAGCGCTGGTTTAATGTTACCGCCGTAAAGCTCGAGAAGGTTGCTTTCTGATTGACTAATGTCGGTTCCTTGTTAGTCCTTTCATTGGTCAGTCAAAGTTCGCAATTGGTCATTCTTACGTGACCTGTAATGGGGGGTCCTCAGATCTGTTTACTGGAAGCGAGAGCTAAGATCTGATTTTAATGAGACTGATGTATACCCTGGACCCACATGGAATCAAACATTTGTTTCGGAAGTGTTATCACTATCTCCATCTCTCTTATAACTAACTCGGCACAAAATGTCTGTGGCTCATGATCTTCATATCAACAACAACCAACCCAACCAGTTCTTCTGAAGGAGAGCTTGGCACAGATCTTATCTAGAAAATAATGCCTAGAAGGTGGAACACCCTCGATTCATTTAATCAAATCAGAAGATACGAGCTAATGATATCTTACCTGGCATCTTCCTGAAGCAAGGGAGTTAACTGACTGTAAAAGTCCAGTTTCCACCCTGGCCCAACTAGGCTGCTTTTATGGAGTTATATTTTGACTGGACAAACAAGACTGCATAGTCCAATCAAAATTGCGTAACGAAATCGACATCCAGTCTGAATCAACATGGACGTGCTATTTTGGTTGACTGCAGGATTTACAAAAGATGGCTACCGTCAACTGGTAGTCAACTGATATTTTCCAAATTTATTCATGTTTTTAATCAAGGTGCTCACGTGATTTGATGCACTTTGCGAGGTAAGACCTGTTTTATTACAATATATATCTTGATCATCCTTCAGATCTTCTTGACTGGATGCCGCCCTTTTTGTTTGAAGCAAATGCAAATGCAAGTGATATGAGAGGTGGAATCTGATTGGTCAATAGGAGGGTCATACAAGAGACATAACTCATAATAGCCACTGGTGGCGCTACAATCGAGCCCAGAAATTCCACCCCAGTTTGGCAAGGAAGGAAACTGGACTTTTAGCGTCAGTTAACTCCCTTGCCTCGGGAAGAATCTCAGCTGAAGGTGAAGTGAAATGGGGTTAACATCGCGTTCAAGATTATTGCACTTATATAGTGACTTATATATGCATGTGTGTATAATAATAACCACAAGTACCATCTTCTAATGTCTCTTGGCATGATATAGCCGGGGATCGAACCACCATCAACCTTCCGCACTGCATTCCAGAGTACTAAGATTGAGTGAGACCTAATGCTGAAAGGTGTTCCCAACTGTATTTAGGGCAAAGACTAGTGATATCACCACTTGGTTCAACCATGAAAGAACAGTGTGATTTTATTTGACAACTAATTTTGTTGGTCATTTGAACCGGACACAAGATGAAGCTGTGAAAGGATCCAGGGTATTAATCATTATCATCTATTGATGATACTAGAACGAAGATATCATAACACTGGATATCTGGTACACCTGTTTAGTAATTCAGGCCAAAACACTGTTATGTATGTTAAACTATTGACAACACATTTGGATGGTTGCACAGAGATGATGTGACAAGTTTAGAGATGACCATGATCTGTGTTACTTACCTGGGAACACGGGGTGAGGGGGCATGCCCGGCCCAGCCATCATGCGTGGACCACCCCCCATCTGTGGTCCCGGTGGGTAGCCTGGACGAGGTGGACCCTGTCAACACAAACACACATCTGGTCAATGTCACAAATACACATCTGAAGGTGTTTATCTACCTACACCTGCTCAGAGGATGATATTTGGCCCAACGTCTGCAACAAATTCCCAATTCATGTTAATATTGTAGTGACCACTAGAATGATGGCGTTGTCAAGGGACTTGTATTTCACTGACAACAGGTCTAATAAACATGAAAAAGAGGAAGAGGTATTATCATGATTATTGCAAAAAAAACTCTGAAATGAAGTAAATAAAAACTGAAATAAAAGCGACAAAACTTTTTCCATAATCATAAGCATGATAAGAAATCTGTAATGAAATAAAAAGAGTTAAAAATCCAAATTTTCAAAATATTTGTTGTCTGGTACTTACTTTTGAATCCTAAATAAATTCCTGATCTGATTCAAAACGACAAATTACTCTCACACTGGGGTCATCATGTACATGTATTGACAAAATTCCGTATTTCTACTAGAAACGTCCCCATAAGGCCATTTTTGATACATAGTGCAATACTTGAGTCACTGAAAGATATGCCTTTGAGATACTTAATTTGCATTGTTTTGTGCATAGGTATGGATTTACACAATTTTTAGCAATATTACAAAAAGGAGCTGTATTTTATCAGAAAATCCAAATATTGAAATCAAACTTTGCATTGCAACTCTCCTATTGGTATAAAACGTTTACCAAGTCTGAAAAGAATCTATGCAGTAGTTTTCAAGTTATAGGTTGTGCACAAAAATGTCCTCGGAAGGACAGACAGTTTTTCTATGATTATTTACTGATCAGCATGACTAAAAAATCATTAAACATTTTGAATAAATTTGACAAGTAGTATTGTATATGTGGAATGTGGGTGCTGATGTTCTTGCTGGTATATACAGGAAGATCCTACACCACTCCCTGTTCAACCGACTGTCCCAGCAACAAGCCAAGTTCATCTATGACACCTGTGTAAAAACTGACTTCATTGAAGCAGCATGTAAGTCGGGTACACAGACCTTGTCTGGAATTCAGTTTATAGCCCTTGACAAGATAAAACCTTTGATCAGTGCTTATAAACCTCCAGTGACGTCGTCCTATTGTTCTCTGGTCGGGTTAAATCTCATAAACAGGGACGCTGTAATGTCCCTGGGATTTTATATAATATCCCAAGGGTTTTTTAGGATATTCAAGTCATATTTGCTATATAATGTGTTATAATATCTGATGGATTTTATATAATGTCCTGGGTATTTTATTTATATAACTTCCGTTCAGATTGTAACATGTAATGAAATGTAAAATCAAATGACAAATTTTTTCTTTATATTCCCGAGGATCGAACACGCAACCTTCGTATCTGTAGCCCAGAGAGTGTACCACAAGGCACTGATAAATCACTATGTTTTTAGAATGTCCTTTTCAAGATCCGTATGCCAGCAACAGATATTTTACGCCTGTTTCCTAATGTTCATGGAAAGTATGTTTTTCTTTTTTCGGTTCATAAGTTAGATAAAACACTTCCCCTCGGGTTGTTAGTTTAAACACGTCCAAGGGTTGTTATGATATTTAAAACCCCGAAAGGGTTTTAAATATCATAACAACCCTCAGACGTGTTTAAACTTTTATCCTATACATAAATGGCAAAAAATCAAAATAACTTCTTGCACAACAGAGAGGTTGCTTTTACAAGCCAGGACTAGTTATGGAGTCAGTATACAACAAATGAGACAGACATACCTATACACATACCGACAAGATTTTGCACACACAAAATCTGTAAACCATTTTAACCAAGAATGAAAAGATACAAAAAAAAGTCTGGCCTACAGTTAAAAGATAAGCTTTATTTCCCATAGCCTAACATGAAATCTTTTATTATACCAGTGTACACAATACCCTTGACTCTAAAAATAAGAAAAATAATTCTCCCTATGCTGTGGAGTGAGTAAGTGAGTGAGTATGGTTTTACACCGCTTTTAGCAATATCATGGCTGGGGACACCAGAAATTTGGCTTCAGACATTGTACCCATGTCGGGAATCGAACCCAGGTCTTCGGCGTGACAAGCGAACGCTTTAACCACTAGGCTACCCGACCGCCCCTAACATTTTATGAGAATGTTTTCAGTACTCCACGCTTGTTGTAAGAGATGATGATGATTGGATTGTCACAGTATGTCAAGCTGATAGCGTGTCATCATGCCCTGGCGATCAGCTTTTGTATACGTTTCTAGATTGTGGTTTTTTCATAAAATAAATATATTCCAGTCATGGTGCAGGACTACATTTCCTATTCAGGTAGTCAGTACAGATAACAAAGGAAGAGAGAAAGCATGTATCTGTTAATGCTTCACTTAGTTTGATCAGTAAGCACTGTTTGAAGAAAAAGGCAGTGTCTGTTCTGTGTTTGTAATACATGTCCTAAACTGGAGCAATGCCACTCAACTTGTCTGATATCGATGTCACCCTGTTCACCTTGGCTGAGAAACGTCTCACTTGGAATGGGAAGAGTGAGTGAGTGAGTGAGTAAGGTTTTACGCCGCTTTTAGCAATATTCCAGCAATATCACGGCGGGGGACACCAGAAATGGGCTTCACACATTGTACCCATGTCGGGAATCGAACCCGGGTCTTCGGCGTGATGAGCGAACGCTTTAACCACTAGGCTACCCGACCGCCCCTGGAATGGGAAGAAGTATTTCACACATTTTGTTGTCGAGCTAAACGATTTACATGATCTATATTCCATGAAAAATTGTATAGGGGACCAAGAAAATGTCTCTAGTAATATGTTTTTCAGCTAAAGATTTTAGTCATCAGGAGTCAATTATCTAACAATTGGCAGGGTCAGTATCTGTACATCCTCATCCCAGTCAACAAGATGAAACACCAAATATAAAGAACATGAAGAAAAAGAAAGGAGTTTAGTTTCCTGTGAATGTTACAATAATATCACAAGATATCATGTATAAGAACATAGGAGTATGTATACATATAGCACTTTCACACTAGTACAGTACTCCTTTGGTCAAGGTGGAAATTTGCAATACTCAGAAAAACAAAAAGTAATTCACTTCTCTATTTTCTAAAAATACATTAAAGAGAAACTTAAGCGGTTATGCATTTCTGCTGTATCTGTATGTCCTAGTTGACCTACATTTTCACCTTGTCCCATCTACAGGACATGTTTACCTTTCACCTTTTCCACAAATGAAGTCAATCAATGAGGATATCAGTTGGTTACGGAGACCTTCCTTGTATGATGTTCAGTTCACTGCCTCACACAGAGAAAGTTTAAATAATGTGCCTCTCAATAATATCAACAACAACATGATCCCATACTTTCACCTTCAAAAATATCAACTTTTTTCAAAAGGCTGCACATACTTATTCAAATATCCTTATTATGCAACAGCTTTCATAAATATTGTAAAAGTGAATACTCCTAACATGATATCTTAAACATGTCAAGAAATATTTTCTGTATGACAATGGCAAAGGGTTTGTGACTTACAACACACAATGTCCACATTGATTGGTCGCTGTTGAACCTTCACCTTGTGTTGACATTGATAAAATATGGACTAAGGCATGTGCTCATTACTGCATAGTATAAAGAGTTCCACCAACCAATAAGAGCCAAGGATCCTGCATCCCAACCACTGAACCTTTATAAATAAGTGGGACTATCGGTTACCCTAATACACAGTCGGGTATAAACACAAGCAGCAGTGCATCTTTAAAAATGGGCATTTTGTTTGCTTTTCTTGACATGGTAAGTTTTTGACAAAGTTTAGCATGTTTAGTATATCTACTACCTATTTGTAAATAAAAGTAACAAAACCATTTCATGATCATAATAAAATATGTTGTGTGATACCAATTATATTATTAACATGTGTTAAATTGATATGATCACCATTGTCTATGGCACTTTATCTACCTTACTATATTCATACTATCATGACAATGGGATATTAAAAACTGGCAACAAATTAGACAAGCAATTGGGAAGGTCAATTCACTTTTCAATAAGACTTAGACTGTTATATACCGACTGTGTCACCGATCATGCCAATCCATATTGTCATATGATGTTTGTTTCACTGAATCCCAAAAACTTTTGTAAGTAGAAAATAGGAACTGTCAAGCACTTAAGTTCCCAAAATATATCGCAATAGGTATCATATTAAATATAAATGTATCACAATATATTGCAATACAATCTTTTGGCCAATGTACAACCCTAGACCCATGTCTATTTAACATGGGAAATTGAAAAATGTTCCTTTATTTCACTTTGTTTTTACCATGTTTACTCTCTCAATCCCAGGGGTTGATTTAACTGCTGGTCCGTGGCCAGTTAAAGTTACAAAGGGCTTGCTGAACCGTAAAGTTGATGGCCTGTCTGGCTGGTCAAAATTTCACCTCTTTTTCATGTATGTTTAATTTTGTTAATTGGACACTACTTGTGAATCATGTTATGTTGATGACAAAATATTTAGCGAGGATGAGGTCTTGTGAACTCAAAGAAAGATATATGTCGATCATCTTGGTAGAATGACCACCGGCAGCCATTTTGTAATGTTGTGTTTCAGAACATATTTATTTGCTCATAAATCACAATGAAAAGAGTGCAAAAAAGGCGTTTCACGGGTGAGTAGTTCTAGAGTTTTCGGCACCCAGGTTCGGCCATTTCACAGCCTCCACTATGAAGTTGTAGGTAAGTTAGTAGGAGAAAGGAGCAAGCCCTACTGCCTACATACAAATTTGTTGTCAAATCTACCCCTACAGTCCCTTGCTGTAAAGTGTGGATATCGAGGTGAATCTTCCATGCCACATGTGAAGACTCCACTACAACTGATAGTTAAGCAGAGTTGTAACCTAGTTATCCCAGTCAGGTCAACATGTAGGAAATACAGTGCAGTCCTTATCGCAGTGTACTGCAGTTTTTTAACCTGGAGTTGAAGAAACTTGCTATTCCTGTGAATAGAAGTACTTAGTAGGCCACATGAAAATTTCTTTTTGTTTCTCGACTGATCGTGCTAAATTCATGTTTCAATATTCAAATTTCTTTCAATTCAAAAGTTTAATGTAACCTACTTACCATATTTTCTTGAGTACCGGTATAGTGCGCACTTTTTTTCCAAAAACACAGCTGTGTAGAAGGGGGTGCGCACTATACACAAATGAATGAGTTTTGATGTTTTTCCCCCATGGAAAGACATTACCGTGAGCACGTAACACCGGAAATACCATGTCAACAAATCCATACTGAAGTACGCAAATTAATCATGTAATTACACTGTCTAAGTGTTCTTTGTATATCTAGACTTATGTTTGTAATCTATTTCATTAATTTTATTCAAAATTCCTTTTAATATTGTTTAACTTAATTTCAGCGAAATTGTGCGTGAGGCGATCGGAAGATCGCACAACTCACCCTTATCAACATCAACCACGGTCAGATTACCGCTATTGACGCCTTGAAACAAACTTTAGTTGACAGGTATTAAATGGATGGATATTTGTTTTGTTTGTTTGCTTTTTTGAATGCTAGGGACCATTAGTATATTGAAACAATATATTGTCACACAATGCAAAACTCATCACAAGCAGCCTTTAACACCAGACAAATAGATCTTTACATTTCCGCACAATGATCAATACATCAGGAGATCAGAGTAGGGCTTCAAAGAGTACTCGAGTACTCGGGTATGGGCCGAGTTTAGTGAGTGAGTGAGTATGGGTTTATGCCGCTTTTAGCAATATTCCAGCAATATCATGGCGGGGGACACTAGAAATGGGCTTCACACAATGTACCCATGTCGGGAATCTAACCCGGGTCTTCGGCGTGATGAGCGAACGCTTTAACCACTAGGCTACCCGACCGCCCCCCTATGCTGTGGAATAGAGTTAGCTAGAGCTGGCTACACTTGCTTTTGTATACGTTTCTAGATTGTGGTTTTTTCATAAAATAAATATATTCAAGTCATGGTGCAGGACTATATTTCCTATTCAGGTAGTCAATACAGATAACAAAGGAAGAGAGAAAGCATGTATCTGTTAATGCTTCACTAAGGTTGATCAGTAAGCACTGTTTGAAGAAAAGGCAGTGTCTGTTATGCATGTCCTAAACAGGAGCAATGCCACTCAACTTGTCCGCTATCGATGTCATCCTGTTATAATAACCTTCACCCTGTTCACCTTGGCTGAGAAACGTCTCACTTGGAACGGGAAGAAGTATTTCACACATTTTCTTGTCGAGCTAAACGATCTACGTGATATATATATATATATATATATATATATATATATATATATATATATATATATGGTGAAGGATAAAAAATCCAATGTTTCAATGTTTGGGTACATTTTGATCTATCATTAGACAAAAAGAAGACTAAATGTCGTCTATATGGAACTTCCTTTAGTTACACTGGCAGTAGGGGCAGTCGGGTAGCCTAGTGGTTAAAGCATTGGATCGTCACGCCAAAGACCCAGGTTCGATTCCCGACATGGGTACAATGTGTGAAGCCCATTTCTGGTGTCCCCCGCCGTGATATTGCTGGAATATTGCTAAAAGCGGCGTAAAACCATACTCACTCACTACACTGTCAGTACTACAAGCACAATGAAAAAACATCTTTCGTCAATACATCCAAGTGCTGTTTCTAACCTTTCTGAAAATTCGAAAAAACAAAATACCCTGGTTACTGGAGGGTTTGGAAACTTTGGTGTGAAGAGGCCTATGGACCGAGCTTGGTATGAACGGGTGACGAAAATAGCCATGCTGATGTGAGTGAGTGAGTGAGTATGGTTTTACGCTGCTTTTAGCAATATTCAAGCAATATCATGGCAGGGGTCACCAGAAATGGGCTTCACACATTGTACCTATGTCGGGAATTGAACCCGGGTCTTTGGCATGACGAGCGAACGTTTTAACCACGAAGCTACCCGACCGCCCCTCCATGCTGATGTGTATGCATGATATTAAGCCACTAAGTACAATCAGTGTTGGGTTCAGAGCTTTCTGTAATGAACAACTTCATCTCACTATAGCCTTTGACTAGATAATTGTGAAGTGTGAAAAAATGTCAGGACAATGTCTTATAGAAGTCAACTATAAATTTACAAGCCTAGCAAATCTTTCAATGTTTTGTGTTCAATTAAGAAAACGGTAAATACTGACTTGTGAATTTGTGATAACAATGAAAATGTTACTTTTAACTTATTATCCATAATTTGTCATTTATTGACAATTTTTTTTGGCGCTGGCATCAAATGATCTTATCTATCACATAAGGTATACCTAAGAAACCAGCCCACCAAAATCCAACCAATCACCAATCGCAACATACATCACATGACGGTGAGGTGATAATATTTTTTTCACCCTGAACATGGCATGTGTTACATTGAGATGTAAACGATTTCTTTTCATATGACAGTTGTCAATTGATATATAACTTATATGATACAACACATGATATAAGTTGACAATTCTTATTTCAATGAAGCTTCAGCAAATCAGCATACAAATTTCAAAGGTATTATATTTGTTACGCGATCCCATTGGTTTTCTTAGTGATCTATGGAGTCATTGTGACTCTTTCTTTTTGCATACGATAGGATAATTGCCAATTTTATTGAACAGATGTATAATTACTCGAGCACGAGACGAGTCTCGCCATATTTTTGGACCCGTTGAAGCCCTACACAAGAGTGTAGCTTTTACAAAACTAGTGAGAGAATCATATTATTCTTACACAGAGCACCAACAAGTGGACATTGGCAGTGGTGGTCATCATTGTTTTTGCATTCCTTCTGACCTTTCTCAATGACATCTACACCATTTACATCAAGGGACTTCCCCCTGGACCCTGGTCACTTCCCATTGTCGGGGGACTCTACATGCTTAGTCCAAGGTACTACTAGGGAGATTTGTTTGTTGTTTAATGTAATGTTTTGGGGGGCTTAACACCACACTCAGCAATATTCCAGCTATCTGATGGTCTGTAAATGCTTGAGTCAGGACCAGACACTCCAGTGACTGACATCATGAGCATGGATCTACACAATTGGGATACAATGACATGCATTATCCAACCTTTTTTAAATTCATTGGTTCACAGAATTCAAAATTCAGTTTGGCAAGGTGTAAAAACTCCTCCTAAAACCCCCAAAATCAGTCATGACACTTTATTTTTTAGTTGGTTTACCCAATTTCTTCCTAAAGCTAAAGAGAGACGGGTTTTAACACTAATGTCAGCTATGCACCCACCATATCAATAAATGATCCAGAATAACAGAAACAAAACAATGAATTATATAATCTGATACCAGAAAGATCTCTATGTTCAATGTGCCACCAAAAATAATTATGATAATATATGATTATAATATTCCCAATAAGTTATTTAAAATTGTTTTCACCATGTTCACAGGCAGCCTCACATCAGCATGGAGAAGTTCATTCAGAAATATGGCAAGATATTCACCGTTCAGTTTGGCTTCATTGGCCCAACTGTGTTCATCTGTGACCCTGACCTCCCCTACAAGGTTTACTCCCAACATCTGCCCGACCGACCTCCGCTCCCTGTGTTCAAGTACCTGAACGGCAGTGACGAAGGTATAGGGTCCATCCAATACAGCCACAGTCACAAGCAGCTCCGGAGGATGTGCCTTCAGGCCATGAACAGCATAGGCATGGCATCCACACAACAACACACGAACAAAGCCTTCAAAATATTTTTCCAAAAGTAAGCAACATCCTCAATCAGTTGAGTTGGTAAAATTTCCACCCATAACCCCTGCCTTGAAAATGATTAAAGTCATAATCCCTGGCTAGAAGTATCTAAAAATCATTAGGTATGGTATTCTTTAATGACCGAAGTTTGTTTGAGGCTGCAGGCAGGAATATTACCACTAAATTCAGGACAGCTCGTGAATAAATGAAGCCTGGACACGGGCTACAGCAACTATCATGATGCACGATGACACACACAGCCAGGTCTCATACTGTACCCACCTGATCCTCACCAGATTTGTGACAGAACTGGAAACTGGGAACCATACCCATGAATATCTGGGTTAGAACAGGTCTTCAGCAAACCATGCTTGCCTTAAAAGGCAACAATGCTTGTCATAAGAGGCGACTAACGGGATTGGGTCACTGTTAGCTGGTGACTGGTTAGGTGGGAGATTATAAAGGTGTTTTCAATAACATAAATATATCCCTACAGTGTGACCACAGGACATCCAGTTGACCCAACCGTTGACATCAGGAAGATGTGCACAGCACTGTTTGCTTCCTACATCTACGGCCTCTCCTACAAGACATTTGACGACCCAGTGCTGACTCAGCTTCAACACAACCAACAAGTGACAGTTTCAGTTCTTTTCCCTGCACATCCATTCAACATCCTGCCCTGGACAATCCATGTTCCTTGTAAGTGGGCAAAGCAACTCAAAACTGCAGTCAAGGTAGGTGAAAACTGCTGTCAAGGCAGATGTACACTGTCATCCATGATCAAGACATTGCATATCATTGAAACATCATGATAGTTGTATCGGCATCTGTCAATGACCAAAAATTCAGACTCAGCATATTATCATATGTATTTACAAATACAGAAATAACATATGCCTGTCTGAATGCTTCGTTCACTCAAAAAGATTTCAGCCCTGATTAGTTGATAAGAAAGTTCACCTCATCCTGACACAACCTCATATGGATGTGTTCTCAGATCTATTACAAGCAGATAGGTATCTGATTGGAGTAAAAGTCTGATTTTTAATGCTATCGCTACATTAGCAACTAATTTTAAAACTAAAATTTGACATGAATAGTCACTCTAACACTACCCAGATGTAAATGTATAATGACAGATAGCGATACTATCTGATAGTATAACCTCAACACCCATATATATAACGATATATCACACAGCATTGCTGCAATTCAGTATAAGCAATAGTCTTCAACAGGGATGCCTCTATGTCATGTATGTAGCACAGAATTGAGACCCCCAGTTCCATGCTTGAATGTTGCATTTCTCAGAATATTATTGGGTGATATACGGTATGCTTAACATGCTTAGCATGCTTAGACAGGATAGTTGCATGATTCATGGACAATACATGGACAATATGTGTTATCTATCAGAAGAAATGTTCTAAGATATATAATTACTTGTCATCTCACCTTTCCTTAAACATGTCACATCAATGATGAACGTAATAATCTTGATAATGAATGATTGCCATTTCCCACTCATTTCTATCTACTCCAACATGTCCACTGTGCCATATGCTGTTCTTTTTAGTTTATCCCGTATATAGTCTCTTGGGTGGTGGGGTAGTTGTCAAAGCATTCAGTCGTCACGCCGCAGACCCGGGTTTGATTTCCCACATGGGTACTATGTTTTAAGCCTATTTCTATGTGTGCCCCACCATGATATTTCTGGAATATTTCTAAAAGCGATGTAAAACCATACTCGCTGTTCTCACAGCTTGATTGTTAATGTACGTGGGAGCCAGTCTAAAGGGCAGCAAGTCATAGACATTCACAAGTCACATGAAACGAACCAAGGATCACAATGTGCAGGAGAAGAGATTCAACACATGATCAGAGGCTATAGAAACCTGCACTACCATTTTTATCATTTTCATAGTCAATAATTATTGTCAGATTCTAGTGATTTGGTCACTTTCTGTTCATGTGATGATTTTTGTGGTCAAAACACTGATAAAGATACTGTTACTGTGAAGGAGCGGAATGCGACACTGCAGACGCAGTACAGGCTTCTAGACAATCCATGCAGGGACCTCAACATTCATCACGCAGTGCTGGGTAAGATGGCTGCCATGAGACTCAAGGATCCAAACAAGCCAAGCACAGAGGCAATCAAGATGTCCTGCTGGACACAGGAAGTAGCAGGTGAAGCCACAGAACTCTCTATGCAAAGCTAAGTTACAGTCCTAAACATCAAAGACCCATGGACCTGTGAAGATCGGGGTTAGAACAGATTTTCAGCAATCCATGCTTGTCATACGAGGTGACTAATGGTGGTCAGACTTGCTGACTTGGTTGATGCATGACATCATATCCGAATTGTGTAGACCATGTAGACCAATGATCATGATATCAATCACTGGATTGTCTGGTCTAGATTTATTTTTACAGACCGCCACAATATACCAGAAATATTGCTCAGTGCAGCGTCAAACAACAAACAACCATCTAGGCATGAAAAATAATAGAACAATCACACACACATTTTGTACAAACACAGTTACCGTATTCGACATAATAAGCGCCCACAGCGATATTTGCCAATATATTGGCAAGTGAACAATCCCAATAAGCACCCTTCCGACTGATCAATGTACACCATTCGCGTACATTAATTCGTGGATAATACGCACTCGTGTGTTATATGCACCCATAATTACGGGCAATTAAATTCTGGAAAAATATATCTATCGTGTATAATACGCAGACTTTTCATTTGTATCATTTCAGGCTGTCAGCAGAAACCATTAAATTTACGATCTTTCGACTCTTTCACCAAAATTATATTCTAATAAGAGCCCCATATTTCTAATTTATTTTGAGAGCACCCTGGGTGCTCATTTAGTTATTACGTCGAATACGGTAATTGATTTCTTTTTCTGTTGCCCTCAAAGGGATGATTACTACCTTCAACACAATGCAGTGGCTGATGCTGTACCTGGCTGTTCATTCTGATGTGCAAGATCGAGCCCTGGCTCTCATCAACACAGTCGTTCCTGCTCACAGGCTGCCCACCCTAGCAGACAAACCACACCTACCATACATAGGTAATCCTTTGCAATCACCAATATGGAAAATGTGCACACAAAAACCTTCCTTTTGACCGTTGCCTGGTCACAACTCAAATCTGTGGTCAAAGGGAGATAACCCACAGCTCAGATCAGCTTCATCTGTTGATCATGTTTATGTGGGATAAACCTAAAGTGATACATATCGCAAACATTTAAACACCACTTTGATGAAAACCACAGGCACTGCCAAACCAAGGACCAATGGCTGTGACCGTAATACTGCAGATCCTGGCAAAGCTAAAGGATGCAAATCTGCATAAGTGAATTGCACTACCTAAGGCCACCCAAGCCTACTTGTAGAAATGCTTGATTTGTACATGCTTTTCACATGCTATCATAATAATCATTTTACATTTGGTTACTGCTTGGTGTGTAGAGGCAATAGTGATGGAAGTGCTACGGATCGCTCCCCCGGTGCCACTAGGAATACCCCACACCTCTCTACAACACACAGTCAAAGTTGGCTCCTACACATTGCCAAAAGGTATTTCATTGTTGTGATTGTACAATTCCAAGAATCAGCTGTCCATGGCTATAGAAGCAACAAACTCTACATTCTCCACAGTACACATGGCATAGGGCTATATCCATACATTCATTATCAGGAATATAATAGCAACACACCTGCTCATAATGTACCAAAATCATATTCAAGGTGCAAGCTTATGGACAAAAAGAAAATTACACTATTACATTATTGTCTAAAACATTTCTTCTTCTTTGCAGGTACTATGGTGTTATGTAACATCTGGCATATCCATCATAATGACAAATACTGGAAGGAACCAAACACTTTCCAGCCAGAGAGATTCATTGACAATAATGGAAAGTGCATTCCTCAACATAAACTGAAACATTTCCTACCATTTGGGCATGGGAAAAGATCTTGTGTTGGTGAAAAGTTTGCCCAAAATATTCTCTTCTTGTTCACATGTGCACTGCTGAAATGCACAGACTTAACAATTGAAGATTCTGAGATTCAAGACATGAATGGCTTTGTTACACTTGGCCTTGAGCCATTCCCACACAAACTTCATATCAGCCTAAGCAAACATGTTGACTTGAATGAACTGTTTCCAGAAAACAATTCAACAAGTTCATCTGACAAAAAAAACAACTGATCAACATGATCAGGTTGAAGAAAAGGACATTTCCTGATATGGTAGAACTATGCTCAAAAGCAACAATATTTTCTAATGACTTGAGTCTATAATCATGATAATGGAAACATAATATGATATAAATCATATACACTACTGGCAAACAATAAACTGAAACATTTACATGGTGTATTGTATAACCATCTGTAAGCCAATACAGTATCAACTAGAATATTGTAGAGGGTCAACAGTATTGAAAATTAAGAAAGAATGAAAGTCAGTGGGTCCTATTCATACTCACAATCCAAAATCTTAAGATTTAGCATGGTTAAGAATCATTGATCACAATATGGTAGCATTAAACTTCATGGTACCCCTTAATTTCTGAAAGCAGATGAATGAAGAGTTGAAGTCCAATTACTTTGTTGGTGACAGGAAAATTAACTATTTACTGTAAGAGTGAATGTGTGTTGGGCATAACTCACTTTCAACAATATTGTTAGTTATATAACAGCATGTCAGCTTAATGTTGGAGGAAAGACCAAAGAATGTAGGTCTACTCTCTTTACAATGTTTATCCCTTGGATGAAATCCATGAGCACAGGAATGATGCTAACAAACCAAGGCCTGCAATCTGGTACTACAGGGGAATCTGGGTATTCGAAACCCTTGATTCAGGATCATGGCATGCTTATAATAAAGGGATGCAACTCTGCCAGTGAACAAGGTGAATTGCAATTGCCTGTGACAACAATGTAGCCATCTTGCAATCGCTTATCCCTTACCTCAAGAAATTAATTCAAACATTTTCCTTTACATTTCAAACATTGGCACTACAATGAACACCTTTTTATAACCAGATAGTATAAAAATGGGATTAAATTGCATACTTCAGTTCGGATTGATCATGCAGTGATCAGCTGATAATGGTTTTTTTTGAAACCGGGAAAACATTGTGTCATTGAAAAACTTGAGTTTATCAATAATGTAAGTAAATTTTGGGAGGCATGCTTTACCACGTGATATAACCGAGTTAGCGCTATATTGAAGAGCACAATAGCAAGGGAACATTGTATGATTACCATCTTAATGTCAACAAACGTCAACATGATAAGCGATAAAGAATTATTATCACTTTTAAGCTCCTAAGAAATGAGAAATGTTGGTACCCAGGAATGACTCCAATGAGCATAAGTTTCTCACTGGTGTATGAGTCAAAACAGTCACACATCAAAACAGTCAAAACATACAAAAAGTCATGATGACGAATTGCCCATGTATTTTATTTGTTTGTATATATTTGAAGTTTATACAATTAGAACCAGAATAGAGGAGATCCAAACAAGCAATGTGTATTTAAATAATCCGTTCTTCTTGTTATTTTTTATGATTTTGAGATAAGTGTTTTTTAAGCATGTTAAGTAGTGAAACCAGCTACATCAAAGGAATTATTGTTTTACAGTAAATTGTAACGAACAGACTGATATTACGAACTTATTTCATAGTCCCAGCCAATTGATGTATATATGCTGTACATATGCTTATAACCATGATAATGAACTGTTATTATTAGTTCATAATAACCGTAGGTTACTGTAGTTCATCAAAGATGTAACTAATTTGAATCAGCGTCTTGCATCCTTATGAAATAAATGTCTTGTACGGCTTTCTTGTATCATTCACTGGTCATCATGGGCACTAAGTGTGCTTGAGTGAGAGTATGGTTTTACGCCGCTTTTAGCAATATTCCAGCAATGTCTTAGCGGGGGACAACAGAAATGGGCTTCACACATTGTACCATGTTAGGAATCGAACTGGGGTCTTTGGCGTGACGAACGAACGCTGTGCTTGAGTTTGACACCTGTAAAAGCAGAACACAGAGAACAAACCAGAGAGCTCCATCTTCAGCTTGTTCAGCTTGTTGCTGGAGAAAGGTATCTTAACTTTCAATGACACAAGTGCTCCCAACCCATAGCTTACTACAGCTACCCTGAAGTTCTCTGTGAGTACCTTTAAAATCCAGCAACACAACTTCTTGTGACGACGATCTCATCTTTTAATTTCAGATAACCATGATAAGCGACAAGTTCTTGTGAGAATTTGACGGGATTCAAACTCAAGGCCTTCAGATTGTTAGCCTGACATGCTAACTGACTAAGCTATGTGCACACTGTTAAACATGTACGTAGTCATGTCTAAATGCTTAAAAAAATTAACAGAAAGGGACAAAGTCCATGCGAAACCATGATGTCACATGAGTTCTGTCTGTGGACACTTACGAGTGGTCATATGACTCACAATGCCATTTGGCACATTTGTCTCATTCCATAAATCTCCAAGATCATAAGTGGTAAGGACAGGGCTGATATTGACATGATGGATCAACCTGAAAATGGCTCCAGATTTCAGAGGTTGATTTCATGAGTACTCAAGAACGACAGGGTATGTAATAATTTGCTGGGTGAGTTTGTGACAGATAAGTGTAGGAGGGAACACTATAATGGATAATGTGGATCATAGTAAGGAACTAGGGTGAGTCAGCTTATGAATTATATCTTAGTGAGTGACAGTGGGCAACCTGGGTGATCCCATGAGTTTCCTCAAGTCAATATATTCAACATCAAACCATTTTATTCTGCTCTCTCAAACTTTGCGTCAGAAGTATAAATACAACTGAAAATAGGTAAACAATAAAAAGAACAATGAACAAGTGCACAAGTGAATGCATTTGCATGCTTTAAGCAGTTAGTCCCATGCTTGAAAATGCATGAGAGGCTTGTTGTCATTACCATGATTACAGACGTCTTTGAATCATTGCAAATGATGTCCCACGCTAGAAAGGAATTTTTCCAGCGACATTTGGATGTGCGAAGCATCAATAAATAAATACCTAAAAAAAGCATTACTGTGCATAATAATAAAAACGACCAAATCAAAGAAATATAATATGTTCCTATTCTTAATCCCTTTAGCCCCATGAATTATGTTGAAATAGAAATAATATATATCTATACAATGTACATATATTGTAAATAAAAATATTTGCATAAACTGGCAAAGTGTTGGCTAATTAGATAAACTCATTAGCCTAGCTTAGTTTCAAGCTGACAATGTGAGTCTGATCATCCATTCAGCGCAATCAAAATCCGAAAAAGTGTGCCGTTAAAGTGAACTACTCCACAATTATGTTCACTATATGTATAGAATAGATAGACATTTTGACTTTTGTTATTAGCCGTTTAAACTTGTTAATCCATTTTGATGTACAGCCGTTTTGACATGCTCACTCTCACTGTACAGAAAACAGCTCAACTGTGTTTTTATACTTCGATTGATGTGTCCCATATACTCTGATACAAGCATATCCCATGGTTAATGCATGCGCAATCACACAATTCAGTCTAAAGATGACAGTGTTAGAAGCTTTCATATCTTTATTTTTACACCTATGTTTAACCGTCGTGCTGAACAACTATTATTCAGGAATGTGGGAAGCGAATCTTACCATCGCCGCGAAAATAAGAAACGTGAATGATAAACACGACGAAGCCTGGCGTTTGTCGGGTAAAACCTGGAGCCTAACCCCGAACTCACACCCAAACCATTCATAAATAACTCCGTTATGATACAAATAGGTATCAACTGCAAGAGCATGTATCATTCATTACAACGGATAAAGATAGGCACTGGCAAAGTTGAGACGACTACAAAACGTAATATCCCTTTGTTTCAAGAATGCCCGCGTCTCCTCGAATATACAGAAATAGCTGGCTTACCTGTGGGTAACTCGCTTGGGTATATGGTGGTCTCATGGGTGGACCCTGTGAAGGGTATCGCTGTGGTGGTGGTTGCTGCATGATGAATGAAATTATGCACGAATTTAAGAATAAAACATCCCTTAGTTCACCGGCATAACCGGAACTCAGACAGACAGCTTCCGGTAGGATACATGCAAAGTGATCGCAAATAGGAAACGAAAAAAGATCGACATCATACTGTTAGTATCCTTAATAAAATATTAATTGAACATTGATTTTCCCTTTTCACAATCCATTGACTAACAGAGAGAGTTTGTACAAAATGATGTTTCGTAGGTCATTTTGAAAACGTTTTTTAAATTATCACCAACTTATCAACAATGGGTAGCCGTTGAAAAGGCTGAGCTGGTGTCCCACAGGACATAGGTGGAACCAGGAGACAACAGTTACGCGAAAAGGAGAATATGAGTGTGCGGTCTAGGTATCTAGGTGTCTAGACGAATTTGTTTGGGCTTTGAATTAGGTTAACGTAAAATTATTCCATAAGGACTGTTCACGGAATTAGCACATACGATAACACAACTACCTTACTTACAATAGTAAATTAATTGTATTTATGAATCATTTTAATTTAAAATTCAGCAAGATTAATTACATGGTGTACAATACTACATACATCATTTAGTTTTCGTAATGATGGTACATAGAAGATATTTATTGTGTTAACGAGTGAAACTTTTCATAGTTGAAGTATTTATATCCTCACACCACCACGGACCTAAACATTTAGGTCCTTGACACCACCAACAGTGAAGGCAAGATGGTACTGCCATTGCCTAAGAAAAGAACATATACACAATTACGTGTACAGATATATTAATTAAAGAATGATTTGTTCAAATATTTGCTGATTCCAACTTTCTATCGTTCCACTAAGATATTGCACAAATTCACTTTGTTTGGACCGGCACTATTCTGTTATTTATTTTAAGAAGATTCACAGGATATTCAGTGCTATGTTTTAATGAAAGGTTAATTCAAAAGACAATATAAGTAAAATCAGAAGATCTAGTGCCTGTCTGGAAATACCATATTTTACAAAAATACTTTAAGTGGGTTTTTTAAAAAGCTGTCATAAACGAAGCCGAACTGACGTATCGGTGAACAGTCCTCATGGCATAATTTGACGCAAAAATTAAAGAGCCCTACTAAATTTCACCTATATAAAAGCAAAGTGTGATAATAATATAAAATACAAATAAACCTGATTGCGGTCGGTATTATATATTTCAGTGACATTTTAGAAGCTTCAGTACCAGTGACCTTGACTGAACTTTATTCTTTCAATGCGACGAGAGCAAGTACAATGTAGTCTTGGTCAAGACTGTCTGGCAAACGATATTTGCGTGGGACATAGCCCCCGTGATATTGTTTTGTATATTATCCTAACCAAACCACTTGAATGATAATAACATGTCTCTCTGTGGCTATTTGTATAAAATATGATAGCTTTATGACTGCAAATATATAAATGAGTCTGGATTAGAAAAAAACAAAATAGTGACTGGTATTATGAGCAAAGACCCACAATATCGGGTTACGATGAAACGCAATCCACCAAGCCACCAAGCCTGACCACATGTAGTCGCCTTTTATTAATTGCCGGGCAAAAGAAACTATACCATACACTAATACAAACGTTATCGAAAAGTTACAAGGCTGAATACAGTCGACGAAACACTGCAAAAGTAAAGTCCAAAAGATAACTATTCTGAATTTTATTTCGCAGGGACAATATCGTATACCCCCAAGTTCCAAGACCCTATATATATACCAAAATATTCCGACAGAAACTGTATTTAGTAGATATATGAACCGAACAAGTAGAGATTTTCGCCCTGCTGCTGTATTCAAACTATAAACGAACCAATAAAAGTATTGATAGTGCTTGATTTTCCTCGCTTCATAAATGCTCAGCTTTCATTACATCACACTGACATAGCCCCTTAACAGTGTTCTGTTATCTCCACTAACGAATATGACAACAATCATAAAAGATGCATGGAGGCCTACACACAGCCTGTACCGCAGAGCTGCGTATATATGTGCGTATTAAACGTAAGATATTACTACCATTACCAAAATAATTTTAGCTGCTTGCTAACAAATATGCATAGTAATTTAGAAAAGTATAACGAACAAAAAAAAGACAAAACTGTGTGTTATTACCCAATTAGCCATTTCAACCTTCGTGATTGTCTTTCTTTACACATCTATATTTAACGAATGACACATATGATAATGCATTACAGTTCTACTTACATTTCTGTTATTGTAACAAAAGCATGCATTTCGCTGTCGTGAGCATAAGTCATGTGGCACAATTGGTGGCGTGTGTGAAAAGATGAAATTTACAAGTCACCGGAAACAGTAGAAATACTTTTTCTTATAAAGTATACTCATTGTTTTGAAAATACCCAACTGACTGAACCCATGGGCGTAACAAAATATACTGAATGCCCATAAAAGGCTACCAATACCCATTGTGAATATTCAAAGGACCACCTCCGAGGTCTAATGGATAGAATGTCTGCCCCGAGAGCCAAAAGTCTGTGGGGCCAAAAGATGTTAAAAGATGATACTTGTTGTTTCCTTGCATGACGTCGACATTAAGGGGATACAAGGACTGTTCGGCTCAACAGATTATCTGGATACCTGTATATGGTTATTTCCTGTATACGTGTCTGTATTCTACTCTGATATGCCATATTCTAGAATAACATACCAACTAATTATCCCGTGCGAGAACATTTGGGTTTGACGTTCGCATTTAGTCACACGCGGCTTTGTAAGTGAGGCTCTAAGGATTTCGATCCAAATGAAAGTGACAAAACCCTTTCCATATTCAT